CCCACGGCACACCTTATACTATGTCACGGCACACTAGTGTGCCGCGGCACAGTGGTTGAAAAACACTGTCCTAGAGAAAGATGCCTTGAGTGCCTATAAAATGATTAGATTAGGATTAGATTAGATTGTTGATTGGAAAGAGTGAAACCACTCTGAGATGCACTGCCATAGCTACTATTTTCTCCTACCTGTTTATTCAGTCTCAAATATTATTCCTTTCCTCTTGAATCTCTGTCCTTCATCTTTAACAATCTGATATGTTTGAAGCTGGCATATGTCATCTTGACACCTAGTAGCTACCTGGAATTCTATATATATGAGGGAATAGGCTGGTTTTCTCTAGAGATGATCGGGCAATAGAGGAATAACTGCTTTTTTTGTGCGAGTGGATTTATTACTCCCTTGCATTTCTTTGCTTCTAGTCTCAAATACAAAATGTTATCTTATTTCGATAATTCTTTTACTACAGAAGTCCAAATTTCATTGGGATTTTAAAATGAGGAATTGTGACAAAATCCATATTTTCTGCATTATTGGCTATAAAGTTGTTCTTGTTTTCTTCAATCCTGTTTTCTTTTCATTACCTATAGTGTCAATATACTAATTAGAGTTTCACCTGCTGGATCTTCTTTCTAAGGCAATTGAATTCTGACACTAACTGATATAACAAATTTGGTTATCAAATATTAAGATTAAATATGTGATATAGTCATAGAAAAAAATGAACATAGTTGTTTAGCCATTAATTTAGATAAAAGCCTTAGGACCCTTAAAGATTCATACATATGGGGTTATTAGCTCCCTCTAAACCTGATTTTTTGCTAGCAGATGTTTATTTACCCAAGTAGATAACATTATCAGTATGAGTCAGTGAGAGGTTAACTGCCTGTTTACACGCAGTAGTTTGCTCTAGCAGTTTTGGTGGGGTTGTAGTTTCTTCCTTGGTGGTTCCTTGATCAAAGAATTGTTTTCTGCCTGATTGTTTGTCTGATGTTGATCCCCGTTTATCTAATATTGACTTCTGTGGAGAAGATCTATTGCAGTCTTTTTGCTTCCTTCCTAGGTTTGGCACTATCTCTTTTTAATGGTGTGTAAATGTGGTTTGTCTCTATGTGTCTATTGATGGATGATTTGTCTGAATGCCCAGCCTCCAGGAACTCCTTAATATTTTTGGATTCAATCCAAGATGTTAATAGTTTCCCACTTGAAACTGTGATTGAGAACAGCCCATGGGGTTGGACTGTGGTTGAGAATAGCGCATGTGTTGTCAGGTTGTGTTTTCATCATGTCTTCTGGCAAGAATGTGGGGTGATCTGCCAATCTTTTGCCTGCCGTGAGCTGATTATGTACTAAAGAAATAATCCTAAATTCATATTTATACATCTAATAGTTTGTTTAGTGGCTGTTCAAAATTAGAAAGTTCAAAGTGGCATTGAAAAATGTCATCACCGTACCACCTTTGCAGTTTCCCCATGATCATGTGATCAAAATTCAGATGCTTGACAACTGGTTCATATTTATGACCATCGCTGTATCCCAAGGTCATGTGAGCCCCTTTTGCGACTGTCTCACAAGCAAAGTCTCCCTCAACAACCATATTACTGGTATTAACTTAACAGAGTTGAAGAAGTTTCTTGGATGAGAAGCGAAATGTCCTCAAAAGAAAAACCAGAAAGTCCAGTTGCCTGTTGGAAAAAACCACCTTTGGGACAACTGCAGTGATTCACATAGCAATTGCAGCAAACAAGGTTGTAAAATGGGGCAAAA